GTTTTCATGGTGGAGGCCTGACAGGCCATGGCCATCCTCTTGGCAGCATCTGGGGGGCTCATGTTCAGGCCTGTGGACATGCTCCTCCTGTTTTTCCACTGAATCCATCATATTCATGGTCTGGGCATGGATGGCATGGATGCTCACCCATGCCCTGTCTCTGCAGGTGCGAGGCCACTATCCCTGGTGGCAGCCGGACCCTCGGGACTGCCCATCTCCTGGTGACTGGAGGCTCTGGAGGGTGCCATGGCCAACCTGCAGGTGACAGGTGGGTATCACACAGTCCCGGGGGGATGTGTCTGGGCTGCATGCCAGCATTGTGGAGGTGCTGGCCGGCCCTGACCCCTTGTGTAGCCACTTCCTCTGGCGTGCGCTGTGTGGGTGTGTGGGTGCCTAAGATCATGAGCCATGTGGGCAATGTTAGGACAGGTGGGTGGGCTCTCAGGTGTTCCGGCGACTTACCTGCTTTCCCCTTTGTGTCTTGCTCCACACCAGGATGCCATGACTACAGGCTGACATTCATATAGCGGGGGATGTCGCACCTTAAGCAAATGCTAATCTGCATGGCCTACCAGTGGCGGGACGCTGAGGATTAGCCAGGGGGCCTTGGACAGAGAGGATGGGAGGCAGCGGCAGAGAGGGGAGAGGGGGAGGGGGAGGGGATTACAGTTCTAGTTAGTGGGGGTTGTTGTTTTGATTTGTTCTTGTGGTGGGGCGGTGGGGGCGATGGGGTGGGTGGTCGAATTTAGCTGCAGCACTTGGGGGTGGGGCTGGCCAGGGTCTAATTGGAGCCCACAAAAGAGGGGGGAACTCCTGCCTGGATGTGGGGACTGGCAAATCTACAAATAAGGCCCTTGCTGTCAGGTTCAACAGCAAGTAACACTTCACACACTTTTCCTGAGAAGCGTTATGCTTTATTAGAGTACAAAACCAGTACCATAATCCTGTGCAATTGCATGAATAGGAATTACATGAGTCCATGACATGCATATCTGAGATGACATGACATGAGTATCTGACAAAGGAAGCTTATACACCCAAAATTTTGTGGATCTCTAGTTACTACTGGACTCAAATCTACACGAGTCCATTCACTGTCTTACCTGAGGGCAAAACTCTATGTAACATGTGGTCGCTATGGAGACTTCAAGCAGGATGGCAGCTGCTAGTTCTCTTCCTCTAACCCAGCCAGCAAGACTGCCAGCAGACTACAATATGCAAGCAAATTTTTGTCCATGTACCTAGAATCACTCCAACAAACAAAAGCTGTTGCCTGTATATCAAAGCCCATCAAATAAGCCACTGAGCCAGCAGAGTCATAAGAGTAAGCACAAGAAACACAGGACTATCAGCACAATACGCTTTATTGGCAAGGATTTAGTGATTGGAATTCATATCTGATAGTTATAGCATTCTCCTTACTATCTCCTGTCCTTCTGACCACAATAACTACTAAACCAGACAGCAATACTAAATCCAGTACATGCTACTCTTTTTATTTTAATTAGTTATAAAGACTGTTATAATATCTGAATGTTTCTGCTGCTATTTTCAAACTGTGACTCCACATAGAATCCATCTCCCTTATATATAACCATAGAAACAGCAATTGACATTTCCAGAACTAGGAAATTAATTATGGTATGCTTTCCATGTCAGTGTGTCAGCTACGCTGCCATGGGGGTTGGGGAGCTTGGTCTTTTTCTGGTTAATTGCTACTGCATTCCTTCCTGTGCTTTTCCTGCTTTGCGCCGAAATGCTTATCTATACAGATGTGCAGGAGGGAGTTGTCTGGGTCCCAAAAGAAAGAAATTCATCTTCCAAATACATGGTATAGTAAGTAAAAAACATGCATCAGTCATAAAATACACGAAATACCCAGGCTTTGCCTTTGATGGAGGAGCCAGAAGAAGAGGAGCATTGGGTAACATTGTTGCAGGGAGCATGATGTGATGCCTCACTGCTTTGGGTGCTTAAGACAAATTTTCTGATTAATCCCCCCCCCCCCCCCAGGGCTTCTTTCCCCTCCTCATTCCTCAGACTGTAGATAGCGGGGTTCAGCATGGGGATCACAATGGTGTAGAAAACTGACACTGTTTTGTCTTGCTCCACAGCCTCAAGCCCTCCAGGCTGAACATACATAAAGGTCAGTGTCCCATAATACAATATAATGGCCAGCAAGTGTGAGGCACAGGTTGAGGTCCTTTGTCTGCCTGTGGATGATTGCATCCTCAAGATGGTGGAAAGGATATAAGCATAAGATATTACTACAATAACAGCATTCAATACCACAACAAAAGCAGAAAAGGCAAAGAGTACTGCCTTGGAAACATAGTTGTCTGAACAGGAGAGCCGTAGCAAAGGGGGGATGTCACAGAAATAAGAGTTAACTTCATTGGAGCTGCAGAAGGACAGCCGGAATGTACCGGAATGTACCATGGAAACATAGTTGTCTGAACAGGAGAGCTGCAGCAAAGGTGGAATGTCACAGAAATAAGAGTTAACTTCATTGGGGCCACAAAAAATAGATGGAATGTCCCACTAGTATGGACAATACCATTCACAATTCCCAACAAGTAACAGCCGACTAGAAGCTGGAGACAGTTTTGGTCATGGTGACTGGAAAAAGCAGTGGGTTACAGATGGCCACAAAGCGATCATAAGCCATGGCAGCTAACAGATAGCACACAGTTGTAGCAAAGATAGTGAAGAACCACATTTTGGTTGCACACGCTTAGTATGAAATCACCTTCTTCCCTATGAGGAGATCAAACAGAAATCTTGGTGTGATGCATGAGGAGTAGCAGATGTCTATGAAGGACTAGTTACTGAGGAAAAAATACATTGCAGCGTGCTGACGGGAATCTATCTGAATCAGCACAATCATACCCAGATTTCCTATTAAAGTCAATAGGTAAGTCAGTAGAAAGAGCAAGAACAAACTTATCTGCACTTCAAATCAACATGAAAATCCTAAGAGAATGAATTCAGACACTTGGGTCCTATTTGCTTCTTTCATTTTTTCAGTAGGATTACCCGACAGCAAGAAAGTATAAAATTGGAATAAAGGTTATCAATTAAAAATACACAATTATAATGAGTATTCAAAATGATTCATAACTATATATTTGGTAAACAAATAACAAATGCTTACTTGGTAATCTCATAGTCAATAGCTGAAAATTGGGATATTTTAAGAACTTTACACCATTTGACAGGGTGGCTTTTCACATGTCTACCCCATGGAAATGAGCTCAGCACCATTCCTACATGCTCCTGATGCACTAAACCAGAGCAACTACGTGTCTGAACTGGGATGATGATTTTGTCTTAGAAATATCCCTACATTCAGTTTCACTGGTGTTGAACTTATCTAACACTACATGCAATCCTTTGCACATTTCCCCTTCAGAGGCCCAGTGAATACATCAAAAGTGATTTCCAGGGATGCAAATTTATGTAGGTTCTCTATTGTTTTGTTCATTGAAAATTCAAGACTTCAATATTTATGAAAAAGAAAACACAAGCCATGAAAAACAGTATCCATACTGCAAACAATATACACATCTTTTCCAGTTCTGTTTGCCTATCAACATAACTTATGGATTTCACAATTACAATTGAATTTGATTGTACAGTCTCAATTCTACTTACAATCAAGGAGAACTTCGTTCATATTTGGTTCCAGGAGCTGACTGTCTGCATGTTCTTTAAAGAAATTTAAGTGGTTGTGTTGATCAATAGGAAATAATTCTCTTGATGACATCTCCCATGACACTCAGCCTAAATGGCTGAGTATTTATTGCTTATTATAATAAGCATATACTACTTATTATTACTGTCCTATTATGGTGTTTAGGGTATAGCTCCTTTGTACACTATATTTCAGATAGTTTGTATATTCTTCCAAAGCATCTATGTGATTGTACTTGTAATCTGGCTGTTTCTCAGGAGGACTGTTTTCATTTTCAGAGAAATTCTAATATAATTTTGCATGCAAATATTGAAATAAATATTCTCTTTTTTTCAAAAAAAATTCAATGATAGATACTGATCAATTAGAAGTGTATTTTAAAATGCGAAAATATTGAATTGGTTCAGTTAACATTACACTTTAAAATTCAAAACAAGTATTCGTAACAAAAATTCATAATAGTAGACTTCCAATTTCCAAAGCAACATTTCAAAATGGTTGCTATTTATAAAATCAAATGGGAATTCTAAAACAGAGTAAAATATTTAATTAGGGGGAAATTATTTCTTCTCCAGTTTCCAACATCTGATAGCTCCACTTTCCTTTCATAACCATACAATGCCCAAAGAGCTTTTGAGGGACTCTATTTTTGAATTTAAAATATTTCATCCTGCCTGATCTCCTTAGTCTCAAGGCAGTTAACAAAGAAACAAAAAGAGTGAAGTACACAAAAAATAACAATTGATGAACAAGAGGAAAAAGGTTGAAAACACAGACAGATATACCAAAACAGTGCACTCTCTGCTCTTATATGCCGTTCTGAATGCAGTTTGAAGGCACCCTCCTCATCAGAGGACTGTACCTATCACAGGAAAAGCCTGCACTGTACAGTGAATCCTAAAAGAGAACACCAGAAAGTGAAAGCTGTCTGAAAAATGTAGCTGCCACTATGGTGCATACCCAGTACAAGGTTAGTCAAGAATAGAAGAGGGCCAACTCTAAAAATCTAATTATAAAACATACAAAAATATACATATATAACTTAAAATAACAAACAAGGGCCCATTCCTACCTCATATACAAATATAAAAACATACAAGGGCTAATAAGATAGACTTAACGCGTTTCGGCCTTTACAGGCCTTCCTCAGAGGTCTAATACAGACAGAACATGTTGGCTGATATGCAAAAATACATACAATCATACATATATGGAATAAAGACCAGAAACCAATTGTTCCAAAGTCTTTTCTTGGAGAAGCCAGAAGATGAGGAGCACATTGTTGCACTGAGCATGACATAATGCCTCACAACTTGGGCTGCTGAAGAAAGATTTTCTGATTCAGTTTTTTCTTCAGGGCTTTTTTCACCTCCTCATTCCTCAGACTATAGATGGCAGGGTTCAGCATGGGGATCACAATGGTGTAGAATACAGACACTATTTTGTCTTGCTCCACAGCCTCAAGTCCTCCAGGCTGAACGTACATAAAGGTCAGTGTCCCATAATACAATATAATGGCCAGCAAGTGTGAGGCACAGGTAGAGAAGGCCTTCTGCCTGCCTGTTGAAGATTGCATCCTCAAGATAGTGGAAAGGATATAAGCATAAGAGATGAGAACAATAACTCCATTCAGTACCACAACAAAAGCAGAAAAGACGAAGAGTACTGTCTTGGATACATAATTATCTGAGCAGGAGAGTCGTAGCAAAGGGGGGATGTCACAGAAATAAGAGTTAACTTCATTAGAGCTGCAGAAGGACAGCCGGAATGTACCACTGGTATGGACTATTGAAGTCACAATCCCTGCCACATAGCAGCCAGCTAAAAGCTGAAGACAGATGTTTTTGGTCATGGAGACTGGATAAAGAAGTGGGTTACAGATGGCCACAAAGCGATCATAAGCCATGGCAGCTAAAAGGTAGCACTCAGTTGTGGCAAAAATTGCAAAGAACAACATCTGGGTTACACATGCAGTGTATGAAATCACCTTCCTACCTACAAGGAGATCATATAGAAACCTTGGCGTGATACTGGAAGAGTAGCAGATATCAATGAAGGACAGATTGCTGAGAAAAAAATACATTGGAGAGTGTCGGAGGGAATCTGTCTGAATCAGCACAATCATACCCATATTTCCTATTAGAGTCAGCAAGTAAATGAGTAGAAAGAGCACGAATAAAGTTATCTGCACTTCTGATCGATCTGAGAATCCTAAGAGAATGAATTCAGACACGTGAGTCCAATTTGCCTCTTGCATTCTTTCAGTAGGATTACCCATAGGAATAAGGTCTAAAATCAGAACAAAATTTATCAGTCTGGAAAAACAATAATGAAAAATTGAAATGATTATGAACTGTGGACTTAGGGAAACATAGTTGAGAATAGTTTCCCCCCCAGCTCTTATCCAGGATATCCAAGGATACTTTCTTATGGCCTAAGTTATTCCTTGAATTACTGAAAATGTGGCAGCTCCAAAATTCAGTTAATGAGGTATCCATTCAGTAAGGTAAAGAGGTAAAGGTTCCCTTGCTCGAAAGCCAGTCGAGTCTGACTCTAGGGTTGGGGTGCTCATCTCCGTTTCAAAGCCGAAGAGCCAGCGCTGTCCGAAGATGTTTCCGTGGTCATGTGGCCGGCATGACTAAACACCAAGGCACATGGAACACTGTTACCTTCCCACCAAAGTGGTACCTATTTATCTACTTGCAATTTCTTGCTTTCGAACTGCTAGGTTGGCAGGAGCTGGAACTAGAGACGGGAGCTCACTCCGTCATGCAGCAACTTGGGTCTCGAACTGCTGAACTACTGACCTTCCACAGCCTGCAGTTCAGCGTCTTAACCACTTGAGCCACCGCAACTCCAATCCATTCAGTACTGAGTGCAAAGGCAGACAGCAAGACAGCAATTAGATTATGAATGGGTGCAACCACCCAAGATTTTTATTGGCTGCCCAACTACCCCTTTAAATTGCTAAGTTGACAAGTGGTTAATGCATTTTTTAATGGAGTTGGCATCTAGTAACCATCTGTTGATTTACTTGTATATGAAATTGCTTCCTGATCAAAGATTCAAGAACTTAAAAGTATAATGTCTGCATAAAGAATTTGTAACTGGTTCACTTACTGACCTCGTGTATGTGTGAACTTGGTAATAAGCCTAGCACCATTCCCACATGCTTCTGATGTACTAATGCCAGAGTCATCATGACTCTGAACTGAGGTTCTGAGTGCCAGTGAATTCAGCAAAAGTTACTTCCAAGGAAACGGATATTGGCAGGAGTTTGTGTAGATATAGGGTTTTTATGAGATGCTCACTAAGAAGACTGCCTAGAAATCTTCAATTGATTAGTATTTTACTATCTAAAAAAGAAAAAAAGGCCTAATTATCTGTGTTATCAAATATATATTTGAACACCTGGTTATTTGTATTTTAAAACTCTGTCAAAATCCTGCTTATGCAACCTCTTTCCCAATGCCTTCACTGCCAAAGGTTCTGATTAAGAAGGCTGTTGGGGATCATATTAAGAAAGGAAATATCACTTACTCAATAAATCAAAGATCCTGATAAAATTGTAGCAGGATGGGAAATTATGAGGTTGTTATTTTGACAGGATTTATGGAAACACCAGATTTATACCAGGTAAACCAACCGTCCAGCATTTCTGGAAATCACAAGGTTTATAAAAGACTAAGGATGTCATAGAGAAAAAACAGGATAAAATGCCCTGGCTTGCTGCTTGCCAGAGGCCTTGTACTTAACTACATTAACTATTTTGAGAAGCTGAAACTGATGTAGTTGAGGAAACTTGTTACACTATCCAATGTATTTTAATTTTAAAAGAAGCATTTCCCCAAACCTCATTGTTAATATTAAATGTTATAACTTCTATTTCTTAATTCACTTGTCATAATTAACTAAGCACTATAAATTGCACTACTGAAATCCAGTTGTTCATTGGTTCTAAGCTACCAAAATTAATTGAATATATTTATTAAGAAGGAAACAGTAACCATGGAACATAGCTACTGTTCTTAAAGCAAACAATAGACTCTTCTTTCTCTAGTGCTGTTTTTGTACTAGGTTTAGACATAGGACTCGTTACATAAAATCAAGTATGATTGAACAGTCTCAGCCTTACCTGCAGGCAAGCAGAGCTTTGTTCATATTGTACTCTTGCTCAAGAGGCTGTGTCTTTCCATGTTCCTTTAAAGAAATGCGGACGGTGGTTTTTTGATCAATAGGAAGAAATCTCTTGGTGGCACATCCCATGATATTCAGCTTATTTGTGCCATGTACTGATTATTATAATTATTGTAGCATTATGGTGCCTAGGGTATAGCTCTGCTGTATGTTATATACACATTTCAGTTAATGACAGCACAATCCGAGGGTGTGTGTGAAAGTGCTGTGGGCTAAAGTTGGCTAACTTACTCCTACGTTGCCATAAGTCTCAGTTACGTCAGGGTAAGCCCAGTTACCTCAGTGTAACTGGCACTTACTACAGAGCAGGACCACTGCAGTGCCATGTTGCTGGCAGGCAGCAGCCAGTCATTGGCATGACTGAGGCATAGGCCCCTATGCTGGCACTAGGAAAGGTGAGGTTGGGGTGGGGAGGGACCTCAGAGGGGTATTGTCAGCTAGCTGCCATATCTGTGCAGTCTACCCTTCCCTGTTCCCACCTTGCTTGCAGCTCAGCAGCATGCCGTAAACATGCCAGGGAGACCGTGGGAGCTAGACGCCGTTATCAGTCTGGCCTTGTGAAGTAGGGAGGGCTTGGGGTCCACCTTTGGTGTGAATTTTTCTGCTCTCAGGAAACCATGGGACTCTCCCACTCATTATGTAATCTCCCGCTGGGAGTCTTCCTGCGCGTACGCTCGAAGTTTATTTGCTTAGCTAATTGCCTTGCCCAGCTATATGTATTGGGATGTTCCCGCCTTCTAGTTATTCCTAACAATAATCCTGGGGACATGGTACCAGTCTTGTACACTAATAAAGCATAACGCTTCTTAAGAAACGTGTGTGAAGAGTTACTTGCTGTGTAACCTGACAGAAATTGTTAGGAGTCTCTCTTTCTTTTCTCCATCGAGCCGAGTCTCTCGAGAACGAGATGAGCAGTCCCGGTGGGACAGGGGGCGCTACCCCAATCACAACGGCAGCGCCTACCCCGATAACAATGGCAGCACCTACATCAATCACAACAGCGGCACCTACTCTGACTACCACGGGGGCGCCGGTGATGCTCCCGTCCACCACGGCGGGAACGGGGGTGCCAATAACAATGCCAAGCCCCGGCAGGCCAGCCTCTACGGATGGAGGGGCCATCCCGAGGTCGACAATTTCGTTCCAGAGGAGATCCGGGAAATTTGGGAAGAGGAGTGAACTACCGCCGTAAAGAGAGGGATTGGGGCAGGCATCTAGGTGACTCCATGCAAACTACCTGGTCGGTACCAGGGAGTAGGAGTCGGGACAGCATCTTTGACCCGTGGTCTAGCTCCGGGAGCTTTGGAATGACCCCGAGTCAACCCATCCCATTCCCACCGAGATCATCGGTGAGTCCAGGGTTGGACGTGGACGGGAGATTGGATTTGTTGGAACTATTATGCGTGACATGGGACAATTACTCCATAACCTTCCGGGGATAGTGGCCCGAGCGGTGCACACCCAAATGGCTGCCCCTCCGGTTCCACCACAGCATCCCTCTCCAGTGCTGGCCCCGGGGCCTGGCCTGCCGGTCCCGCCTTTGTTGGAACTATTATGCGTGACATGGGACAATTACTCCATAACCTTCCGGGGATAGTGGCCCAAGCGGTGCAGACCCAACTGGCTGCCCCCCCGGTTCCGCCACAGTGTCCCCTCTAGTGCCGGCCCCGGAGCCTGGCTTGCCAGTCCCGCAACCGCCTGCACTGCTGCCCCCCTCCGCTGCCGCT